AGAGAAGAAAAAAAAAAGTTGACAATGACTGTTAAAAGAGAAAGATGCATTTAAATAGCTTTTTTATTAACATAAAGAAAGGCAGGAACAGAACAAAAAAAAGAGGATAAAAAAACAAGTATTAATCACGGTACATGAAAGATCTCATCATATCTCTTCAAAAAATAAATTTTTTGTTATTAATTACTCTTGGCGATTTAATTAAATGTTCTACTTCACATACGGAATCTATGAAAGTAGGTATTTTCTTAAGAAACCTTTGTTTGTTAAAATAGAATTTTGCCACAAGGATAAGAAAGTTATCAGTAGATTCTAAAGATTTGTTTTGGTTTTCAAAAAAGCAAACAACATCCTTAATGTGTAAATTACAGTTCATATTAACTTTAGAAAAACAATAGGAACTCAAATCTTTCCAGAAAAGTGATGAAACATTACAGGAGAAAAATAAATGACAAATATCTTCACTTCACTTTCTTTTTTACAGAAGGTGCATATATCAGCTACATCATAAAATTATTACTTCATAATTGTATTCGAGTCTTACACACATGCTATACAGATAATGTAGAGTCGTGCATTAATTTGAGTGATGACTGATATTATGGAAGTGGATTGATGGAGCGCAGAGATGCAGATAACTTGATCTTGACCCTTAAGAAACTTTAATTAATGCTGTCACGTAACAAATCTGTTCAAATATAAAATGAAATTAATTGATAATTACTACATTGAAATAAAAATGTAAAGCCTGAACAAATATTAGAAATCGTGAATATAAATAATTGTGAATCATGTAAAAAAAATTAAATAAAATAACAAGTCCACATTTCATTTATCTCTTATAACATTTATGTAGTTTTGTTCGCTTGGCTGTTTCCTTATAAAAGTCCCAAAATTTGACAAGTTTTTCGTCAGGTGTCTTTTTTAATGATATGATGTCATGACGTTGCTGTCTTGCCGCCAGCCAATCGCTGCTTTGCTTATCGTGGTTTCGAGTATCGATACATAACCCCTTTTAAACCAACCCATGAACGAGCAATTATCTCAGATAACTCGATCCAGCCATACTAATCATCAACAACAGCTGCATTCGAAGAACCGAATTAGCCAGATCCTGATTAACGCGATATATCATCTTGAATGTGACATTTCATCTCGGATGTAATAAGCAACGTACGAAGAACAGGCCCCAGTACTATACATAACAACAACAATAATAATAAAAAAGGCTTTTAGCGTCTTTCCAGAGTTCAAGAACTTTGTTTTATACATTTTATAAACCTATTTATTTGTTATAAATTGTAAATTGTACTCACCTCAGAAAAACACATTTTTCTATCAGACACAATTGAAGTAAAAGTGCCTCAGATAAACGCGCTCTCCTGATTCAAGCGGATGAGATGGTATAACCAGGTCTGTGTCATTATTTCAACGTTATCTTCATAACTCGTTACGAAATAAAAAGTTTCACAACTTTCCTTTCTTGTCAACATTATACAGGGCGCGTGGTGTGTCAGTTGTGGAGGCGCGCTGTACGTCACGTCACTATATTGAAAGCAATCGTCCATATTCTGACTTGGTGAAAATAAACATTTTATCTTAAGAGAACTTTCAATCTTGTGTCTGAAGTTTAATTACACTTTTTAAATAGCAAATTCTGGAAATCAGAGAGCATATAAAGAGCATGTATATGATGGTAATGAAATTACGAGCATACGACTTTGCAGTTACGTTGCCAGTAAATTATGAAATTACCAATATATTACGAATAGAGTACGTATCTGGAACGTTCTTGGTTATCTTGTTACGTTAGGAGGACGTATTGACGACGTTGTGAGTTGGTAATGGGATGGTAAGGGAATTACGTTCATATGACGTCGTGGTTACGTTGTCTATTGGTAAGTCATGAAATTACCAAAAAGTAGAATGCATTACGTAACTGTTACGTCGTGTGTTAGCTGGGTTTCTAAGAAAATCACAATAGCCATCTTTCTTTTGTGTGAAAAGCAACACTGTCACCCCATACTTCCACATGCAAAACAAACAAAAATCTTTCCTGCCTTTCTCCAAACAATGCCTTTCTATGTGACCATCCTTTCCACATGCATGACAGACAAAGCTTTGATGAGGTCTGTCATTGTCTCTGATGGAAACCATAGTTAATCTTGAACATTCTCTCCTGCCAAAGGCAGCAGCTGGATGTCTGGTTTCTGCAGCTTTCATTTGCATTGAAATAGTGTGTCATTTTAGAAATGATTGGCTCCTGTGGTGTATTTACATCTACATGCAGAGCAATGGCTTCCCGCATTTGTGGATTACTCTGTGCAATTAATGCAGACTTAAACATGAGGTTTTGTTTAGTTGCATTTAGCACACCACTCTGTAACAGCTAATCATTTCCCACAACCTGGATGAAAATGCCAAAGAATGCTCTTCAGGATCAATTGTCACCTCAGTTATCTTTCTCAACTTATCCACATCAGTCTCAACAACTCTAAGCAGAGCTTCTCTCCCTGCACCTCTGTCTGCTCTTTTGTCTCATTTCCTGTGAGAGAGCACTAGTTGATGAACGAGGAATGCAGATCATAAGAAGTCTACAAGCATCCGCGTCTGATACACTGGGTCAGGGCAGACTATAGTTTCTTACATAACTGTATTCTGTTAGATCGGGTCTCCATGCCAGATAATAATTAGGATCCAGCCCCGGATGCCAGATCCTGTCAGAAAATATCAGTTTGTCCAGTAACAGAACAACTAGTCAGCAGCGCTGATAATACCCAAACCCTGTTAACAGCAAGTCTTGTCTGGTATTCAAAAATACCCAAAATGAGTGTTTAACAGTCTTCTGTCAGTCAAGAAGTTGACCGAGAAAAGGCAGAGAAGAGCAGAAGCAGGAGACGAAGTGATGATGGTTAAAAGTACCATCATTGTTTATTGAACAATCTTAGTTGTGTATGCCTCAATGTTCAAACTTTTTCTGACCAGCACAAATTCAACAGGTACTGTTATACCAGAACTGCTTCACAGCAACATCCCATAAACCTTGGGTTTCCATAAACATTCCCTCTTATCTATCTGTATTCATACAGACAAAACGGTTCACGAAACCCCACAAGCAAGATTGAACAACAATGAAAATGCATAAGCTAGGGGAAATTAATAAGATATATAAAATATGAAATATAGAAACATAATAAATGAATAAACAATAAAATACTTAATATAATGATACATTATAAAAAATAATCAAATAATAAATCACATGAATGACTAAAGATTATAAAATTAATATGTGAATAAATGATTATAAATGAATTAAAAAAACCATGAAAATAAAAACACAAAACACACAGTTTGCACGTGAGGATCTAAGGATCCTTCAATTCCAAAAAAGTATTTAACATGCATCATCAGAAGTTGTTAAGCTTAGAATATAATTGTTCATCTTGAACAACAATTTATAAATTGTGTTGTTACCAGAGGAAGCGTTGATACTGTCCAAATAAATGAGCCAACAGCTCAAGTATTTTTCATATGATGCATTTTATGAAACATTTTAGCTATTCTACAAACTTATCATAATTAAAATGTTTAGACTACATTTTAAGTCATCTAGGATTTCTTTGGTTAGTAATCATACCTATATCCTACTTTATAATGATGGTCATCGCAGGCATAATCCATCACATATATGATGATGATGATAATATTATTAATAATAATAATAATAATAATAAACTTATTTATTCAGAGGAAGTTAACCAATATGTAGGCTATTGTACATGCACTTTTTGTACATGTACATTTGTAAAGAAGAAAAACATTGTTTAGAAATTATGATTGACCCTAGTAACGAGGGTCTTATTGTTCTTAGTTTCTAAGCTTTACAGCAAGTTTTGAGGAAATGATGAGCACGTTTTCTGCTGCCTTCGCCAAATGAGTTTTTTTCCTATTATGCCAATACTATATATTTACCTTTTAGAAAAGTTATCAAGCAACATGCTTTTAAAGGAAAAACAGAACAGTGTAAAAAAGCTGTTGGCTCATAACAATACCTCAATACATCAATGGCTGAAATCATTAAATAACTCGACACAATTTATACAATTTTGTGCTTAGATGAACAGTTACATTCTAAGCTTAAAGGGGTCATATGATGTGATTTTCATTTTTTCCTTTCTCTTTGGAGTGTTACAAGCTCTTGGTGCATAAAGAAGATCTGTAAATTTGCAAAGACTAAAGTCTCAAATCCAAAGAGATATTCTTTATAAAAGTTAAGAGGCAGCCACACCTACCTAAAACGGCTCGGTCGAACACGCCCCCACATATCTACCTCACTGTGTGGGAAGATTTGCATAACGCCGCCCAAATGTTCACGCAAAGAAAGAAGGCGTAACTTTTATTCTCACTGTAGTATTGTTGCCGCTGCCGCCATGTCGTGAAGACGCTGTGTGCTTCGTTGTGAAAGCGAAACTACTTTGTTTGGTCTTCCAAAAGAGGACGATATCTGCGTCGTCATGCCTAGAGCTGATCTGTGCTGGTCGCTGAGGAAATACATCAACTTAGTGCTGTGGATCACCGGCACAGATAAAATTTACTGTTTACTGATCCTGGGAGAGTATGTTAGACTAAAATGCCGGCAGTTCTGACTCACGTAAGTACGTTTTCTTTTATCATTTGCCACTGACGATTCAAACGCGAGTTTTGAGCAGTGTAGAGTAACACTTGTTGTTTGTCATTTCTCTGATCACAAATGCAGACAGGGTTTTATGTTTACGCGGCACGATGCAATGCAACGCGTAAAAAGACCGTATAAGTCATTATAATCAGTAATTATGTCCCCACTGGATGCAACAAATGGCTCGTTTGTAATGGGTTTTAATGTTTTTGTGTCGTCGCTCCGGCTGGGAAACAGGATAAGTATAGAAAAATATTTCCACTGCATTTTTCTGTTGTGTGTTTTTGTTTGGCTTATGATTGTCTGTTCATTTCTTCTTCAGTTGCGTCTGGTGTTGGTTCAGACGGAGTATCAGCATCTGTGATGGAGGGAGATTCAGTCACTCTAAACACAGATGTTAAAACAAGCCAACAAGAAGAGGTTGTATGGTATTTTAATGACACTCGCATCGCTCAAATCAGTGGAGATCTCAGTGATATCTGTACAGATGTTCAGTGTAATGAAGGTACTGAGAGATTCAGAGAGAGACTGGAGCTGGATCATCAGACTGGATCTCTGACCATCATGAACATCAGAACCACAGACTCTGGACTTTATAGACTAGTGATAATCAGCAGCAGCAACAGCAATTCAAAGATCTCCAGCGTTGCTGTTCACGGTGAGTCATTTAATAAATGTTAAAAGGGAGATTATACATGTTTTAAGTACATCATTAATGTGTTTTTCCACTTACCTGTATATTCACATAAATTATATAGATAATTTCTTTAAAACGCATTTATTGTTAATTTGGAATTTGTAGATTTATTTGTGGATTGATTGATTTGTTAGTTTTAACAGTTAGTTGTGCTCTGAAACAATGACAGTCTCTCATCAAATAATATCTGATCAGCTTCTCTTAGTTGAGTATTTAATGTAAAATCAGTATGTAAAATGTGTTTTGTAAGTAGAAAACTTGGATAAATGTTGTTTGTCAGATTCAAAGTCAAGAAAGGTTTGTGCAATTGCATTCATGTTTAAAGTTCTCTCAGGTTATGCAGGTTTTTTTCATCAGCAGCTGTTGGTTTGTGTTTCAGGTGTTCCTGCTGCTCAACGAGATAAAAAGAAGACCAAGTCTGTAGTGGAGGGGCAATCTGTCAGTTTAGATCCTGGTCTAAGCAAAAACCTAAATGTTGTGATGAGATGGTATTTTAATGACACTTTCATCGCTGAAATCACTGGAGATCAGAGTAAGATCTGTACAGATGATCAGTGTAGAGAGAGATTCAGAGACAGACTAAAGCTGGATCATCAGACTGGATCTCTGACCATCACAAACACCAGAACCACAGACTCTGGACTCTATACACTACAGATCACCAGCAGCAGCACCCGTCATCGTCGCCACAGCATTGGTGTCACCAGTTTAAAGAGCTTCAGCATTTCTATCACTGGTGAGCATAATTCTGTGCATTTCAGTGCATTTTAAAATACATTTCAGTGTTTTATATCAATCCAAGTGAGCTTTGACCCAATAGCAGCTTTTCCACTGTCGGGCAAGTGTGAGCCAGGGCTAACAATGAGCCAGGTGGGGCCAATAGCCTCGGACCTTGAGCTGGGAGGTCAAAATCAAGCTGCATTTCCACTGACAGGACAGTGCTACTCTAAAAACCTGCCCTTAACACGCCTTCCAGAAGCAAACATCACACAACCCCACCATTTCACCAGCCAGGGGAAATTAATGAAAACTAACTTTTAAAAACTTGACAGAAGCGGGTGTTTGGTCCTTACATAAATACTTAAAAGGAAGACTTCAGCATGAATATTTTATCGTACTATATCATACTAGCACGATCCAAAGATGTCAAATGTTTCAAAATAAAGGTAATTTTAAGAAGCAAAGTCCAAATGCATAACAGTGTGTACTCAAACACAAACAGTGACCGACAATGAACTGAGGAAACCAACAAGGAACTTAAGTATATGCAGATAACAAACTAAACGAACAGGTGTGATAATCAAATGAATTGCCATAGTAATCTAATGGAATGAAAACTAAACTGACAGTTCGTGACAGGACCATGGAATTAAGTGGGTGGAAATCTCTGGCCTTTGGCCCTGAGGAAGCCCTGACGAGAGACAATCAAGCCCTGGAAGTGACAGTGGAAATGCAACTGGCCTGCTAGAAACGCAGATTATGTTGTAATATATAATAAGTAATATCTATGACCTGCACAATTTGTTCTCAGTTTTGTCTGTGTATCGACCACATTTGTGATTGGATGTAAAACTTCCTGCTTCAAATGCAGTCAATACATTTATAATATGATTTACTGAAATTAATGCAAATGCCCACGATTTTCAAGATATGATTTAAAAAAGTCTTTTTATGAGATAAAAAAAAATATATATATATATATTATAACATATGATATAATTAATCACTGTCACAAGAGCAAGAAAACGATTTTTCACAAATATGAGCACAATTGCAAACTTGTTAATTTTATATAAATATTTAATAAAAAAAGAAGCTAAATTTGAATAGTGCTGGTCTTGGTCTCGACTCATTCTCACCACACTCGTCTTGGTTTTGACTTGGTCTCGAATTAGGTCATCTTGACTACAACCCTACTCTCTAGTAATAATGACTGTCTTTCTTTAGCTGTTCCAGATTCAGGATTGTCTCCAGCAGCTGTGGGAGGAATATGTGGTGTTCTGCTGCTCGTTGTATGTGCAATTGCTGGCGGTCTTGCAAAAAGGAAAGGTGAGAATTAAAGCTGATTTAACAAGACACAAATATGAAATGAAGTGTGAAGAGAATTGTTAAAATGTGGAAATATGCATATGCATATTCTAATGAAACAAAATAATGTATGTTTAATTCGAGCTTGTTTTTTTTTTTTTTTTTCAAACAGGCATCTGTATGCAGCAAAATAATCAGGTGAATCATCAAAAATATTTTCACTACTTACAAAGTAGCATTTTCTGGTCTCTTGTGTTTTTGTGTTAGTGTAACTAAAGCATTAATCCTGTTAATTTCTTTTTTGTGAATATCTGTCTTCCAGGAGAATAATGGGCTCTAAATCAAGAACACAACCAATGGGACGTTGCCTAGTCTGACGAGGCTGCCAAAGATACTTCACTTTCCACTTAACTGCTATGTTTTATATTTGGGAGGCCAAGTATCAATATCTTCATTACCATAAGCTTTACCATGAGTTACTATAAGCTTTATATTTACAAATTGGATGTTATGTGTTTATATATCAGTGCTTCCGCATTTCTCTCTCTCTCTCTCACACACATGAATTAAGCTGCTTGTACAGGAATCACGTTCTCGCACATTTCTGAACTTGAACCGGTCTCTCTGTGTTTACGTGTTAATTACATGTGTTAGTTCGACACTCTAATATAGGCCATCAAACCTTTCGCTCATTATTAGAATTTAAGAAGCTGTCTACGTAGTGCTAAATATACACTGCAAGCAAGCTTGTTTCATAATACATTTGACAAGACAAGTTGTTACATTATTGCATGCGGTCGGTAACACTGGTCATACTCTTAAAACATTTTGTAGGCTATTTAAGAGCGAAAATAACTCCTCAGTGCCACTAAGTGTCCAAGTTCTATTCCGTTAATGACATATGTGACCCTGGACCACAAAACCAGTCATAAGGGTAAATTTTTTTGAAATTGAGATTTATACATCATCTGAAAGCTGAATAAATAAGCTTTCCATTGATGTATGGTTTGTTAGGATATGACAATGTTTGGCCGAGATACAACTATTTGAAAATCTGGAATCTGAGGGTGCAAAAACATCTAAATATTAAGAAAATCGCCAATGAAGTTCTTAGCAATGCATATTACCAATCAAAAATGAAGTTTTTATATATTTACATAGGAAATTTACAAAATACCTTAAAATAAGAATAAAATAAAATAAGAAAATTCTGATTTGCGTCACTGAATTAAATTATATTTTAAAGTATATTAATTATGTATTATATATGTATAAATAACCTCTGACACGGAGAAGAGTGAAAACTCCTCACATGACCGCTAAGTTACCGAACATCTGAACATAACGAACCAAATGCACATTGACAAATCTTCTTCCGTCTGTTCTGCAAAATCTAAACAAATGTATATTTCTGCAAGTGGAAATATTGTGGAAATATCAATATTAATTGTGTATAGGCAAAGGCATTCCTCCTGGAACAGAGCTAACGTGCGTTTGGAGGGTATTCATTTCATACTCTGTGACCGCGTCATTCAAACTGATTCGCGAACCAATTCACTGGTTTGATCAAGCCTTTGAACAGAATTGACTCAAAAGATTGAATCATTCGCGAATGGGCATCGCTCATTGCCCAGAGAAAAGTAAATGTTTGAAATAAACTGAAGTATTTATAAATTAAGCGATAGCGTTAGTTCTGGCAGGTCACGTAAGTCAAGCTTGCATCAGCTGATTCTCAGCTGATCACATCTACCTATAGGAATACGACACCTATCGCGGCATTCCAATATAAGCTCTATTCAGTATTATTCAGCAGCTTTTCAGCTTGCTCCGGAGCAAATTACCCTTCTCCATCCCCAGCTCCTCCTTTCGCCACAGTCAGGACTTGGCTTTCTGATATTCCTTGCTAATCAGACTCCTTTATCTTGAATAAAGTGTTACACTTAAATATCATTAAGTACATTAATGATATCTGCCTTGTTCTGTTCTGTTAACCCTGGGGGGGTTATTATTGCTGCTCTCCCTGCTCATTCATGGCAGGCTGCATGGATGGGCAGGGAGGTTTTTGCCCAGAACAGAACCATACCGCCAAACCAAACTTTATGCTAAGTATCTATCATTTTGACGATAGTGGTCCTGACAGAACTTGTATTGCATTAAGATAAAGTAATGAGAGGATTTTTTTCACTAAAAATGTACTTTAAGTAAGTGTAAAAGTACCTATCTTTAAATATACTCCAAAAGTATTAGTTACCCAAAAAATTTACTCAAGTAAATGTAACAAAGTAAATGTAACTCGTTACTACCCACCTCTGACATTGTGCCAACTTCTGACCAATATCAATACAGTGAAGTGAAACACTGTCTGCCAGACTAGAAGCTGTAATCTCAACCTTAATACACAATGGCCAAACTGGATTTATTAAAGGGAGACATCCTTCAGAAAATACCATGCTTGAAAACAATAGCAGGGTGCAATAGCAATTTGACAGGGGGGAGTGTTCATTTCTCTTCTCCATACTTAATCATTTTGGATTTAATACAAATTTGACCAACTAGATCAAATTAATCTATAAATCCCCTGTAACCAAAAGAATCATCTCAAAGTCATTACCTTTCAAAAGAGTCTTTATTGAACCACTAGCAGCATTAATTAGGAAGTCCACATAGTATTTTTTGAATTCAATCAGATTCATACCACCATAAATTAAGCTTATATGCAGATACTTTTATACAAACCTATTGTCTTCCCTCCCAACAGTACACAATCTCATTAACTATTTTAGCTGGATGTCTGACTACTTTATTGGTACACATTCCAAGATCCTGCCTATCACGGTTTACCTCACTTAGAAGAAAACTGCCTTTACATAGAACAAACTGCCTCTCTCCTCCAATAGTGCAATTATAACATTTTATTTGAAGAACAAGAAGCTGTGTATAAAACTATCCACCTTACAGAAGCCAAAACAATAGAGTTTTCATACATTTTTTACTCCTAATCAAACATAATCCTATGTTTTATAATTAATAAACCAGAGAGGCAAAACCAATTACACACTAATGGCCTGGTTATAAAAATGTAGTAAAAAAAAAAAACATTAGCATATTATATTGCAAAATGTTTAGAACCACAATAATATTGTTTCGTTGCTTAGGAATTGTGATAATATGTCGAATAATATGTTATATAATTTTTTTTAATAAAACATGAGCCCCAATTACATAAACACTGCTTCAAAGAAACACAAATACACTGTATATCAGTAATAAAATGAGGAACAAACCAGCACATTAACAGAACAATAAGTGCTAAAACTTTAGTATAGAATGTTTTATTTCAGCTGCTAAAGTGCAGTCACCAGCAGAGAACACTATAAGACCTATTAATGCACTGATCTGATTATATTCTCTTGTCTGTTTACTTGAATACCTCACCAAGATGAGCATTTTCAGACAGTGTCATGCTGTGAAACATGAGCATTCTGTGTAGAGAATGTGCACACATATTCAAATTCGTTTTTTAAGGCAGCTGTCAAACAATATTCACGCACTACTGATATTGTTGATGATGTTACGGTTTTGTTGCCATTACCAGAAAAAGCCTATATTATAAATATTGCATTATGTTGCCTGCATGTATCATCCAGATGATTCCATTGCAGTGGTCTATTGCATGAACAGAAAAACTATTTAGGTTTACCTGAAGGAAATTCATTTATTTATTTTAATACATGTGTGGTTTATATATATATATACTGTATATAAACATTATTTTTTCTGAGCTTACTCTGGTATGCTTTTCTGTGAAAAACTTAATGTTAAAAATAATGCTGAAGCACAATTTCCACACCATAGCAATTTTTTATTTATTCTTATTTTTTTTATTATTATATTCTTTTTATTATTATATCCTTAATACATTGTAATCAGCATTTTGATATTTGTGAGATGCTGGTTATCCTGCACATTATCTATTTGTTATAAGTGTTTTCTCCATCTCATGTCTCTTTCTGTTCTATTTATGAATCATTTTTACATGTGCTGCATTTGCCAAGTGTTGTTTTATATTATGTATTTTTTGTGCTGATGTGTATATACTAGAATAATATTAGTGTGATACTGACAAATTTTCTGTGACGTCAGTCCTGGAAAGCTGTAAGAGGAGTTTTTGAATGTAAACAGATTTTTTTCAAGTTGCAAAATCTGATTGGTTATCAAATCTGATCCTGTTCAGAAATGATAATATCTGCCTACAGAACATATCAGAAGATTTCTCTAAACACTCAACTTCAGAGACCAGTGCAAGATAAATGTTTTAGAAATGTAATCATGATGCTGATTTTTGTTTCGTAGTTACAAAAAAAAAGAATCATGCCAGAGCTGAAGTATTAAAATGGCCTATGTCAAAAATCACCCATAAAATCTTGTAACACAACCTCAGGAAGATGCAATAATTGTGTGCCTTCTGATATCTTATTTTCCTATGAAGAAGTTGAGCCTTTATGAATGACTATTTTACAATAGAAATGAACTTGTAAGATCAAGTATGTTCATGTGATATATGCGATTAAAACAAGTGAGATTCACTCGTAATGGCTGATCTGTTCATTTGTTTGTCATGATTTTAGAGTTTGTTATCAGAAATAACTGAACTAAACTACTACTGAATCATTTGCAGTGTTGGGTAGCACATTACAAGTAACCTAAGTTACGTAATCAGATGCGTAACAAGTAACATTACTTTTAAATTTACAACAAATTGTCTAAGAGTTTGTTATCAGAAATAACTGAACTAAACTACTACTGAATCATTTGCAGTGTTGGGTAGCACATTACAAGTAACCTAAGTTACGTAATCAGATGCGTAACAAGTAACACATTACTTTTAAATTGACAACAAATTGTCTGAGTCACTTTGTTTTCCATTTATTGCCCTCCAGCAGTGGCAGCTGGTGGGTTTTAAAATAGAGGAGGCACACTAATTGTATTGGTCTGGGATCCCTGCCGATTATTATTAATATATTATTTGCTTAACCACTTTAAAATGTTTTTTTGGTAGTCAGAAAACGTAAAGAAAACAACACGCATACAGCAAGATAATATAATTTCACTTACCTGGCCTATCACTTGAAGCAAACATCCATCCCTTCTTAAAAGTCTGTAATAAAAAGAGCTGTCTGTTGCGCCATTTAATTAAGCCGACTGCTGTAGCCTATATCCAGCTTAGGCTGTTTTCCCTAAATTTGTACTGCTTGAATGACAGCTTGGTAAATCTGTTGGCGATTAACTTTCACCGAATGGTAAAAAGTGTAAATCTGTGAGTATGATGACAGCATTTTTATTTTTGGATTAACTATTTAAACTTTTCTTCACATAGATAAACTGCAGAAATATGGTGATGTTTAATCATTTTATAATGTGAGAAGTTAATAAAATAAGAATGTAAATGACAGGACAAATAACATCTCTACTCACCGTGCATCTAATTATGAAAAGTGAAATTAAATGAAAACGGGATAGTTCACCCAAAAATAAATATTTGCTGTTAATTTGCTCACCCCTATAGGCCACCCGAGATGTAGGTGACTTTTTTTCTTCAGTATAGAACAGTAAAGAAAATGTAGATAATTTATAACATTATTACCTGTAATCCAGAGCCTCGGGCAAATCATGCAATCATATAATGTATACAGAATTATATTATTAAAGCATGATATCTGTAATAGTCTTAACAGATAATCATGCACACACTGATACATCCAGGAGCACAGAAACTTGACAATGCTGCCCTGTGATGTTTATCAACAAATTAGCTCTGATACCAGAAAACTTTTTTATTTTGTATGTGTCTAAATGCAATTATATATATACACACATATATATATATATATATATATATATACATACACCATAATTTATATTGAATATT